GCGGCCCCCGGCGCGCTCAGCGTGGTCGGCGTCGGCGTCGGCGCGCTCACGATGGTCGGCGGGCAGGCGATCGGCGTCCGCGGCCTCATCGAGGGCGTCGTGCGCCTGAGCGACTTTTTCGGCAACGAGACGGCGCGCAAGTGGGCGCTGCCGGTCGTCGGCGCGGTCACCGTCGGCGCCGTCGTCTACGTCGTCCTCGAGCTCCCCAGCTCGATCCCGCGCACCGTCGGCCGGCGCATCAAGGCGGCGGTCGAGCTTGCGGAGGAGGACGAGAAACGGTGGGAGGCGGAGCACGGGGTGCGCATCGCGCGCGAGACGCGCAAGGTGCTGCGCCTTGCGTCGTGGGACCTGCGGGAGCGGTTCCGGGGCGCGATGGAGGAGCGGGCAAAGGAGGTCAAGAGCGCCGAGGAGGGCGAGAAGCGCGCGCTCAAGGCCCAGGAGTGGTTCGGCAGCGTCGGCGACCGCGTCGCGGACGTCCGCGTAAACGCCCGATTGGGCGAGGAGTCGGCGGTCTGAGGCATCCACATAGATACAGGATCCTCGCCGCCGACGACTGATATGTTTTCCCTTTGTCTCATATTAATGTCTCATCTCACTTGAATTGCTTGACGGAGTCGTCTTCAATACCTGCCTCACGTCCTCACGTTCCTTAATTCTACCTCATGCCCTATATACGGACCCGCGTGGTCTCTTACGATTCTATTTCTGCGCGACCTACGCGTATACATACTGTATGTACGAGCTACAAGATGAATTTAACATCTTTATCAGCCATTAATGACTTTCTTGGTGTGGATGCGAGCATGTCTCGTCAACTGATCAGCCCTGGCGAACGACTTGTCGCAACCAGGTTCAATGCAGGTGTATGGTTTTGCGCCAGTATGGGTTCGGAGCTGTGGATTCGAGTTATGAAAGGGATTATCAGAAGCACGGGGCGCACATACATGTTTGGAAAGGTTGGAGGATTCAGAGAAAGCCCTGGAAACGCTGGTTAATTACGCAAAATAAAACAATATTCGGACTTGCTTGTCGCACTGGGGACATTTGAACGGCCTGTGGCCGTTGTGCGTCCGTTTGTGGATGGTGAGCGCGCCGGTGATAGCGAACGATTTGCCACAGCCGGGATAGTCGCACAAGTAAGGCTCTGTTGAACTATTAGTGAACGTCGGCGATAGTCGGCGAATATACTGACTTTCTTGCGTGTGCCGCCGCATGTGCTGCTGCAGAGTGGCAGCCTCGGAGAAGTTCTGCAGGCAGATCTTGCACTGGAATGGCCGGTGTCCAGTGTGCGACTGGACGAGCTAGATATGAGCCATGAACAACGCGAAAAGCCAAACACAGACCTGGAGATGTCTGCATAGCTTCTGTTTACTAGCGAAGCCGCTGGTATCATGCCGAGGGCAGTCGTGCCAGTAACAATCATAGGATGTCTTTCCGGCGCCGACGTGGATGCTCGCGAGATGTAGTGTGAGCTCATCTAAAGAGCTAAAGCACTTTCCGCACGAGACCCATCTGCAAACATGCCCCGCTTGGCTTTCGTCCTCGGGAGAAGACATCGATGACTCGGTACGGCTTGGCGGGGAATCATGGGGAAGCGATTGGGACGATGGCGTAGCTTGGAAGTAAGTCGGGGGGCTGTTCAGCCCGAGATGGTCATGGAAAAGATGCGATGATAAAACACCCAACATCGCCTCCATATCGCCAGAGGACGGTCCCGGAACCGAATCAGGAGTGGGGTATATATTACAGTCTTTCCATTGGCAGAAATTGGAGAACAGGTCGCGCACGTCGGATGAGGAGGGGATCGAGGGCGATGGTGGATGGCACAGGTGCACTAGATTGACATGTTCAGCGAGGTGGGACAGCGAGGAGAACGAGGCACCGCAGTCGCCCCACATGCAAGCTAGAGCAGGCGGACCATCGATTGTCGCGGGTGCAGCACGGGGGGAAGGAGTGGAGGCGGTAGCAACGACCGGAAAATCATTGCTGGGGGCAAAGATTGCTGCGGGCAAGTGCGAGTCGACGGAAGCGGGTGGAATGCGGACCGCGGTGCTGTCCCCTCCACACTGGCATACGAACGTTTTCAGAGAAGGGTCCCAGAACAAGGGCGTTTCTGGGTGATTTCTGGGCTCCTGGTAGTATGAATGAAAGTCTGTGCAACATTCGAGCTGAATGCAAAAGTAAGCAGCGCGCAAATTAAACAAATATCGTCGACGAACAAACTGGTCGAATCCGTTACAATCCTTGCAATTCACGTCGATTTCACAATCGAGATCGCAGTGGTTTCCTGGACATGGCATGTCGCAAGCCGGAGCGTTGTCGCTGCAGGCCACAACGACGCACTGGTCTGTGCATTCGGGAGTCATGGTCGGTAGTACTGCGTGGCAGTGATCAGTACAGCTGGGAGGCATTGGCTTTTCATCAGAGAGCATGGCGAGGTGAGTAATGGGACTGTGAGGGTTGAGCGGACTGCCACCGCGAGGGTACTCGAGTCCGGCTGCTTCCGGGTCCGATCGCGAGTCACGGTCACGTTTGCCAATCGCGCCTTTTTTTCAACTGTCAACATGGCCAGTGGGCGCCCACGCATTCTCGTTCTTTCGTTATTCAAGGAGCACAGTTTATACCACCTTTACACCCAACTTTTCGACTCCGTCCGCTCTGTCACCACTCTCCATTTCGTCGAGTCGAAAGCTGCATTTAGCAGCGCCCTCAGAATTACAAAACCATCTGCCGTCCTGGCTATTGACGGAGCTATCACAACAGGAGACAATTTGGATGTCCTCCAGCAATTGATTCAGTTTACAAGACAAGGAGGCATTGTCGTCTGCTGTTGCAATTTTAGCAACGGCTTGGATTACATCACAGCATCCGAATACTTTTCTCAGTGGCGTCTAGCATGGGATGCGGGATCGTATTTCAGGACGACTGTCCATCTCAACCAGCTCCGACCAGTTGCCGGAATGTCTCTCGACGGCCTCGCTGCATCGTATAGCGTCAAGGCACTTTCCCTGGTCCATGTCCTGAAGGAACATGCCGTTTACAACCCGTCCTCGTCCTCGTTAATTGAATCGCATGTCTTCGAGGCCGACAAGTTTCCCGTCGATCAAGCAGAGGCCCCCTGCGCGTACGCACCCGTTGGTCAAGGCTATTTCGGTTATGTGGGCGATGTCAATAGTGAAGAGGACACTACGAGAGCAATCCTTGCCATGATTCGCCTTCCCCAAACTGCTCTTCTACCCTCTACTTCGGAACGATGGAAAGGTCTAAAGGCTTTGCCTAATGGTGGCTATGAAGCGACATCGGAGCTGGGTCACCCTGATTCACAAGTCATGTTCTCGGACGCCATTCGAAAGGCAGGCGATAGTTCCATGGAAGCCGGCTGTAGGATGGGCAGAGCTGGAGAGACTCTTCCCCGCCCTGTCGCAACTCCCCCAACCGCTACATCGGCTTCCACCCGAACACACCGCCGTAGCCGTGAATCGGAAGTTGAAAAGAGGGCCCTAAAACGTGCTGCTAATTCCAAGAGAAAGAAAGATATGGCCGAGGATCTCAAAGAACAGGTGAGTTGAGTAGCCATTCATGCAAAAATGGATTCCAACACGTCACACTACAGGGCAATGTGCTGTTCCGAAAAGGAGATAATCGTGGTGCAGCAACCTTTTATAAGCAGGCCATTAATGTTCGCGGACCTCAGCCCACGTATCAAGCTAACCTCGCTGCTGCCTATTTAAAATTGGACATGTGAGATGCCCATCTTGCATATGTTCACGACTAACCCGTCACAGGCATCAGGAAGCGGAAGCAGCCTGCGACGAGGCGCTCAAACACGGCCCTACGCATCTCAAGGCCCGCTTCCGCCGAGGTACAGCTAGACTCAATATGCTGTGCTTCAAGGACGCAGTGCAAGGTTTCTCAACCATGTTCTCGACATTTCAAGTCATTCACGGCCGTATCAGATTTCAAGGCATGCGCGAAACTTGCGCCGGGGGATCCTCAATTTCCCGCAGCTATACTCGATGCCCGCCGAGAATATGGAAGACTGAAGGCGACTGGGTATCGTGACCAATGGGCCGATTCCGGCGGTCAAGACCTTTCTTCCGACGAGGAAAGCGACAGCGAAGTGGAGGACGATTTCGATTTTTTTGAGCCAGGGCTGGACGAAACGCCTGAAGCGATCCTCTCCGACAGTGACTCGAGCGACTTTGAACACAAGGGAAACAATACTCCTTGTCGTTTCTACAATCACAATGGGTGCGCAAAAGGTTCCAAATGTAGCTTCAAACATGCGCCGGACAAGGATAAAACTACGAGAGACAAATTGTATGTTTTGTCCTTGTGTACCGTTTATTCTGTATTGACGTCTTGCAGGGGACGCAACGTTTGCAACTTTTGGCTCTTAGATGGTTGTCGGTTTGGAGACAGCTGCGTGTATACCCATTCGAGGGAATATCTCCCGGAGACTGGGTGGTGGAACGCCAGTGAGAAGCTGGATATGATGCAAGAGATTATGAAGGATTTGAATCATATCCGCGGTCATGCTTAATGTCTTGTCCAAATGAAAACATGATCCTAAAGTTCTAGTTTCCACGCGTCCCCGGCCATTCCATTCATTTACAGGATCTCTCTAGGATTGTTGCAATGAAGGAAAGGGAGGCAGCGCTCTGCAATGACGCTCCGAAATTAAACGGCAACTTTTGCTAGGATAAAGAAATTCATGGACGAATTGATGTCTTATCAAATACTGATGGGATTTTCTTCTTTGGGCTTCTTCTCGGCGACTTCACGGCGGGCTCAATTGTGTCTCAACAATTAAGGCCCTTGAGATGAACCACCCGCACATCTTGGACACACTCCGTTCAAAATCCGAAGTCTATACACCAAGATTTGCACACGTAGGGACCCTCCGCATCCAATTCTTATCAAAATAACTCTGAAAGGGGGAGAAAAAGACAGTAGACATCAAAAACAATGATAAGACGTGGGGAAGATGAGGAGACAAAAACCGCCGATGGGGATCGAACCCACAACCTTTGCCTGACTAATTGCGAGCGAAATTTAGGAAGGCAACGCACTACCTTTGTGCTACGGCGGCGCAAGAGAGGTGAAGATTCAGACCACCATGAGTGCAAGAAAAGTCGAAAATTGAATAACAGATGGCTGAACTGGAACGGAAATACTCATGTGCACATACTTGATCTGTAGAGAGCGTAACTGAATCCCGTAGACGGAGAAGGAGAACACGGTCGGAGAGGGAGCCGATGCTATGTTAGTATTGCTACAGCATTCACCATGATGCACGGGCACATCGGCAGAGTATAACTGCATTAATTTCGATTCGATGCAGGGAAAAGGTGTTGGAGTCATTGGAGCAGACGGGGTTGAATGGCATCAGAACTCTGGATAATAAGGAGAGCTATAAGAATCAATTGAGCGATCCTACTCTTAATACAAGGATTGGCAACGAAATATTAGGATCCATAAATGCATCGTCACCCGTGTCCATCCCATATTTTAATCGTCGTCTTTCTGAGGCGGGGGCCCGCATGGCTGAAGCATTCGCTGCAACGCCGCATTGAGTGTTCAATTAACCTGAGTAAAACCCGTCGGCATCGACTTACCTCGGTCATTTCAAACTTGATACGGCCCAGCGACTCCCCATCTGCAATGGCCAGAAATGATGTCAGCGTAGGGTGCCCGACGATCGAGGCGAGCGTGTCGCGATGTTGATGCGTCACCCAGTCACTGCAGAGCGTCAGGAATTTGTTGCCTGAGCTGTGATGATACTTACTGCTTCGACAAGTCAGCATGTCCTGGTTTTCCGCCATGTCAAATGAGGGACGAGAGAGGAAGGCAAGTAGTTACGCACCTGTGCCGGTGTACCTGGCGTGCACTGGAAGGATGGCATGAATTAGCCATTGATTCAAATGTGGAGAGAATCTACTCACGATGCTCGAGCTGTGTATTCGCAGTGTACCTCAGTTCAGATGCCTGTGGGTCAAAGCACGACGGTCAGCAAGGGTGAAGACAACAACGAGTAGGTGGACGCGCCATGAAAGAGTTAGCCGTTGTTTGACGCTGCTATTTCTCGGAGCCTCCTTCCACATTAGGATGGCAGCGCGGAATCGCCCGCAGATTTTATCTTGCGGGAAAATCGTATACGGAGTTAAGAAGATTCCAGATACACGCGTCTCGCTTGCAAGGTAGTACAACATCTAGTAATGCCCTCGTGAAGACCGAGCGTGCCGTGGAATTTGCGCGAATCGCGAAAGCTCAAACTTGGGCGTGATCGAGGGTTCTGCTCTGGCAGTCTCATACTGAGCGCGGAGGTACCGAAAGCGAAGGGTACAATGGAGGAGGGGTGACGTGCACGGAAATATGTCTGCTGGGCCATACCGGGGTCATCATCTATCGTTTCATTCATTGTGCGGGCATTAAGGTTCCATTCTATGTTGTAGAACATGCGAAAGAAAGACAAGGACGAATAAGTAAAATAGGATGCATGCCTGCCCCGCGTAACATCTATTCTGTCCCATAATCAATCACACGTTCGTGATATTTAAAGAAGAAAAACCAACGTTTTTAAGCTAGCTAAAGTGACTGGCGATTACTTGCCACCGGTGGTGCCCATACCCATGGCGCTCTTGAACGAGTCGTAGATCCACCATTGGAAACCAGTGAGCGTACCTAGGACAAACCATGAGAGAATGCAGAGATATTCAGGCTCCGGACGTACCAATCATGACAACACGAGTGCCGAGTCCTTTAGTGGCCAGGGTAGCAATTCCAACCTCGGAGTAGATGGTGCCGACTGACTTGCCCTTGTTCTCCGCTTTTCCGAGCAGGGAAACGAGGGTGTCGGCGGGGTGGGAGACGATGGCGCAGACAACACCGGCGAGATAACCAGAGGCGAATGTGACACCGAGCTGGGTGCTCTTGCCGTATGTTTCCTTGGGCGCAGTGAATACGTGGGTGTAAAACACCTGAACGATCTTCTCGAAGAAGAAGAACTTGGCCATGGTGTACGGGATCTGAGATGGAATTAACAGGAGTAAAAAAGAAGAGCCTCGAGGGACAAACCTGACGCGACCAGAGAGGGACGAGGGAGCCGAAGGGGAACCGGGTCTCAGCTTTCGTCGCGCGCATCTGCGCGATAGCAGCTCCAAAGCCGGTGGGGAAGGTTCCGTTCTGGCTCGTCTGGATCTTGACTTTGGTCATCTCCAGGGGGCAGAGGGCGATATCGGCAAAGACTTCAGCGGAGGCGGAACCGGCGAGCCAAATTGCGGGCTTGTACTTGTTGGAGAGGTCCTCGCCAGCGAGGTTCATGTAGGCGTCCTTGAATATTTCGTAGAGACCGTATTTGAACATTCCCTGGAGGGAATAGCCGACGAAGGTAGGACCGAAACCCTTCCAGATACCATTCTGCCCCTCCTCTTTTATGAGGGTCTTTATGCTGGGTATGAGGCCGCTGTATTTGATGGGGTTGACCTGGATGGGAAAAAAAAGTTGAGCCGGCGCAAAAGAGAATGAGGTTAGTGTACGCACCTGCATGTTACATTTTGCGACATCGAGAGGGGTGATACCGGCATGGGTGAAGCCACAGGCAAGAACACCGCCGAGCATGCACTTGGAGTAGTAGTTGAGGTCATGAGGCACAGGCCCAATAAACCTGAAAAAGAGGAAATGAGATGGAGGGTACGGGGGAGGGAGAGAGTACGAACCTGGCGTCCCATTTTCCGAGGGTAGGGGAGGACATTGTCGTCTAGATGAAAGTCTAGGTGAAGGAGGTCTTGTTTGCTGTTTGCTGGCCCCGACTCCTCCCGTAACGATTTGATTCGCTGATATTTTGATTGGCGGATAAACCGCTCCGACTTGCTTCCGACCTCAATATTTCTTGATGGAGGTATCGAACCCATTTTTTCGCCCAACTTTCACGACCAACTGGGTCAGTATCGAGATTTCTCTTGCCAATTAATTACATTTACTGTAGTGAGCTTGAGTCCGCTGCGTCGAATCGAAATTAGTGCAGTTATACTTTGCCGATGTACCCAAGCGAGCGTGCATCATGGTGCATGCTGTAGCATCGGCTCCCTCTCCGACCGTGTTCTCCTTCTCCGTCTACGGGATTCAGTTATGCTCTCTAAGTATGTATCTCCGTTGCAATTTATGTAGCTAATTTAATTGTCGACTTTCTTCTCAATCTGCTCTGAATTGTCCGCTCTCTCACCTCCCTCCATCCCCAGACACATCAAGGCCGCCGTAGCACAAAGGTAGTCGTTCCCGTTGGATCTTGATTATGTCGGGTGTTTCCAGTTGAGTTCTCGACTCATTCTGCTCTCTCACCCCAGACACATCAATGCCGCTGTAGCACAAAGCTAATCGTTGCTGGGCTGTTTCGATTGCTGAAAAGACGGTGGACGTCCACTGTTGCAAAGCGTGCAAATTTGAGAGCAATGTTACAAGTCGGCGTCTACAAATTATCATGTCCTTACTGGGCCTTTCCACCTTTAGCCTTTTTGTTCTCGCGCGATTCGCCCGCCAACCACGCGGCAGAGAACAGGAAGAATCCTACGCTGGTGCTGATAGCACCGGCATAATATGGCCATGCAGCGCTGAGGAATCGCGGGTAGCCATCGTGACGGGGAGGAACAACAGCAACGGTGGTCGAGCTGTGGAGGTGCGTCCATCTACAACGTATTAAGATTACGGTAATGATGCAGGACAGGATAGCATACCCTTTTCGCTTGTAGTTTATAACAAATTTAAATACTCCATGGCGATCTGGGGCGCGGAATGTGACGGAGTATTTTCCGGGTGACCCAGGTACGGCCGGAAGAGCAGTGCGAATATGAGGATCCAGCATTGTAAACTCCAGCTGCATGTCCTTGATGCCGGAATATGGTTCCCAAATCGAGGTTTTGGCGTTGAAGCGTGATATTTGAGCGGTGTAAACCTGTTGGATGTTGGAATTAAGCACGAAGGATATCGACATGGCACGCACAATGTTGTCATTGGTGGTGTACTGTTCTAAGGGTGTCGTGGAGTTGACAAGATGATGCGTAGTGCTGTCGATGCGCAGTACGAGCGACTCTTGAAACGTCCATGCTGCCACGTCGCGCGCAAATTTGGTGTTACCGGACTTGACGCCCCTGATAAAATGGGTTTCATGATAATCTGCGAAAAGAGGAAAACACACTTGGAGACCTCCTTCTTGGCGAACTTGTCACTGAACATATCAACCCCGCCCACCCATGTCACCCTAGCACCGCCAACAGCCTGGAATCCGGTCACGACACTGAGCTGACTACCAGCCCAAAGTCCTTCTCCGCCCTTGTCTGTCGCGTCGACCAAAGCATCGGCGCCGCCCTCTGAGTCCGCGGCGAAGCTCTCTGGCGGTGCGTTCAAGATCGGCACAAGAAGCGGGTTGTTTCCGAGTGCGTGGGCAACACCGGAGAACCATACGGGCGCCATTTTGGGCGACAAGATGAGAGAAGACGCGGGGGCGGCGATCGGGATCACGGAAGGTGGGTCCTTGCGCTCGGGGAAGAACGAGACCAAGGGTGTGCCGGGCGGGGGGAGAATGAGAGAGAACTCGGATGCCAGGGACGAAAGTGGTGTTTGCTTTGCGGACAGGGCAATGAGGAGATTTGTGCCGCCAGACATAAGCTCAACGAGTGACTGCGGGGTAATGTCTTTGGCAAAGTCTGGGCAACTAGAATAAATTTATGCTCCGTCGCGTTGGTGAAAGGCTCACTCTTAGATTCCGATGCGAAGATAACAATGTGAGAGAATGCGGGGACATCGTGCTCAACCAGGACTGGTTTCTCGTCCTTGGGTGCCCGGAACGTAAGGTCGTATCCTTGCTCTAACGGGGCGTCAAATAATTCCGTGCAGAGTCGGGTTCAACACACCTTTCAGACCGTCGAAGAAAATGGTAAAGTCCTTCTGGTGTTTTTCCTCCACGACAACAAGAACAGAGTTCCCATCGCTGGATTTGGCGTGGAGAAGGCCTGATAAACTCAGGAAAAATAGGGTAAAGGTGTAGAAGGAGAGCATGGTCGAGGCGTTGTAGCCAGCAGGGCAGACCGGGGGCAA